AATTAGAGAAAATTCATTTTTAGCCTTTAGAAATTAATATCTTGACTTAGAAAATTAGGAAATTATTGAAATTGGTTCTAGGTGATCAGTAAGTCAAATTTGACATTTTAGTGTGTTTTACAATTTTGCAATTTTTATGATTTTTAATTAGTTTTTAATTGTTTAAATGTTTAAAAATAGCTCAAAAATAAAGTGTTTATTTTAATCCCAATTTTATTTTTATTAGGTTTCTTTGGTCATAAGGATCTCCTAAATTTAATTTGGTAATTTTTTGAGTTGTATTTTAATTATTAGAATTATTTTAACGCCAAAAATGGGATTTCACTTAATTAATCCATTTGAGTGGTCAAATTAACTCCAATTGACTTAAAATTTTTATGGGGGTCTCCTCTAACATTAAACTACAATGTGGAATAGTTTTAATCTCCTCTAAATTTATAATTACTCTAAATTAATTTTCTTTTCATTTTAGGGTTGGTGATAATTAGAGTTATTTTTATTGAGTTGAATCAAATTTAAAATTAAATTTATATTTTTCCTAAGGTCCTCTGATCATAGTGAATATATCAAAATAGGTTTTTTATTTTTTTTATGAGTACTTTAATTATTATAATTTTTTTTACCAAAACAGGGACCATTAACTTGAAAATTAGATATCTCTAGTTAGGATGTCTCCTGACCTTGGAAAATTAGAGAAGATGCTTAACAACAGATACATCAAAAGCCCCATGGGCCCATACCATGGTGAAATGTCTATGCAAATGGAGAATTAAAATAAAGAAAACACCATTTAATTAATTAAAAAATATGCATGCATCAAGTGGACATGAAAATATTTTCACATTGTTCTCCTCTGTTCACTAAGTTAGATGGTACTTTTATTTTATTTTTGCGATTTTTCTACACAAATTTATGAAATTTTGAAGTTCTAGGGGTTTAAATAAATAGAAAAATGCCCTATTTTTCTACTTATCCACAGCGCCACACAATCCTACGACGACTCCGAAGCTCCACGGGCGCGCTCTCGTTAGACGCCGCCGCCTGAGTCAGCCGCCAAGCGTCTCCTCTGTACCGCTCCATCTCTAGTCCGACGTGATCTCATTCGTTCATCCATTACACGCACGATCCAACGGCTGTGGGTCATTGTCCCCAAAGCCTCTAGCCCGAGAACCGTCCACATTTAAACCCTAATGTCTCTCTTGATACTCAACCAAATCAAGTGTGGTTTGTTCCTATAGACTCTTCTTAACTAGGATAAAATATTCATATGGTTAATCAACCCTTAAATCAACTCTATAAACATGGAGAATTAAATGAAGTTTGGTCTAGGGTTAGGTTTCAATACCTTTGCCCAAGAAGTGTGGCCTCGATTGGGTGCTTCCAAAAGCTTGCCTTGAATCCAAAGAGCTCCTAGATGAAGCCTCAAGCCGTGGTGAAATGCTTAGATATGATTATGACCAAGGCCAGTTTAGGGTGTTGATAAAAGTCCACCCTAGGGTGCTCTGGTGATGGGGCTTCTATGGGGGATCTTCCTCTCTCACTGTGAGGATGGTGTGGGTGCAATTAATTTGAATTTGGTGGAGTTTTATGGGGTGTCTTATTTCACGCTTGAATTTGAGCTCCAAAATTGAGCTCGAGCAGTGGGCTTGAGTGGCTAAGGATGGTTGGGTTGAGCTCAAGAGGCCTTGAAGAAGCTCTGGAAGCAATTTGGCGGAGTCTCCCCAAGGAATTTCGAGCTTGCTTCCTTTGGCCATGGAAGTTGGGTTTAAATAGAGGGGGAAGGAGAGGCCACCAGTAGCAAATTGTGGGTGCTTTAGGTTGCTTATGTGGATTCCAGCAATGTGCAAAAATCCAATTGGAATGAGACAACTTGGATGGGTTTAATTTTGAGTTTTAGCCATGGGGAAGCACTTGGCCATGGCTTTTACGACAACCTAGGTGGTCGGCCGGCCAGACTCAGGTCATCATCTGACTCAGGGAGGTCAGAGCTTGGGTTTGGTGAAGTCAATTGGGGTTGGCCATGTGTAAAGGTCTTGGATTAAAGAGGAATGGGAGAAGTGTCATGTTTGGTCAAATTGGGTCAAAACATGGATTTCAGTTGGACTCAAATACCAAAGTTGGTTTGGGCTGAAGAGAAGATCATTTAGTTCAGCTTAATCATTGGGGATAAGTCACCATCCAAAGAGATTTGGCTAAACATGGGTTAGAGTGATTCATGGGAGAGGTTAAAACCTTTTTAAGGAGGCTTGAAACTGTCTTGGCCTCTTGCCATTACTAGTTTGATGAGGTGACAAGGCTCTCATGGCTCACCTATGGCTTGGGAGTGGCTTCATGGCTTGCGTGTGGCTTGGCTAATTTTCATGTGAAGGGATTTTGGATTTATTTGGTATTTTTGTGGAGTTTTTCATGAGCCTTGATTTAGAATGATTTGATCAAATCATGAATTTGAACTTAGGGAGTGCTTTTAATTGAATGGATGATGAAGAGAAAAGAAGTTATCATGTGGGCTTTAGATTTTGGCTTTTTTGAATGACTTAAAGATTTTGGATTTTAAGATTGAAATTGAATTTGGGCTAATTGAATGTTGAATTTAGTGTATGAATATTTCATGAAGGATTTGGAAGAATTTCAAATGGGTTTGAATTGAATTGAAAGCCAATTTGGTGGATTTAATCATATGGTCAACATTGGGGTTTTTTTATTTGGGTGAAATTGGGCTTGCAATTGGATCAAATTGGGCTTGAATTTAGTTTAGATTAAGATTGAAGATGCTGAATTTTGGTTTGGAATTGAGATTGGGCAAGATTGGGGTCAATTGGGCCAAGATTGAGGCTAATTTAGGGAAATTGGGCCCTTAAGGCCAAATTTGGGACTTTTGGCCAAATTGAGTAAAATTGGTCAAATTGGCTCAAATTGATGATCAAAATTGAAATTGGGAATATTTGGGATGATTTTGAAATTTTTTGGAATGTTTTGGAATTTTTGGAATTTTTAGATCATGAGGGGCATTTTGGTAATTTTGGCAATTTTTGGGGGTATTTTGAAAATTTAGGTGGTGGGGAGCAGTTTGAGATGATTTTTGGATAAATTTGGGTGTTTTGGGTAATTTTGAGATTTTTTGCAAAAATTAGGGTTGTAGGGGTATTTTGGTAATTTGGTAGTTTTTTTGGGGCTAAAATGGGCCAGCAAGCCATGAAGTCATGCCAAACCAATAGGAGCCATGAGGCCACATTTAGGCGGCCTAACAGCGAAGCTCAATATGTTGTCTCTAACACTCTTAGCAAAAGATTAGGGGTATAGGTTCATCCATATGAGCTTTCCAAAAAAAGTCAGAAGACCAACTTAAGGGATCATAGGGTTTAGGGTATGTGAGAGAGTGTACGGTGTGCAAGTTAGCCCCACCAAAACCAGATCACCCAGGGTTAGTCCTAAGGTTTGACCACCCTATTCCTATGGGGGACTCTTCTTTAGCTCCTCCATACTGACCCCACATACTAAGTGCTAGAGGTTAGGACCAATATGTGGAACTTCAAGTTGAGTAAAGAAGAGTTTGGAATTTCTAATGGTGAGGGTTCCCTTTCTAGTTCTCTAGGATTTCGTTCTCTAGGAATAGTCAACAGAAAATTCCTATGGCTAGTCCCTAGGCTACTAAAGAGGAAAAAACTAGACCTCAACCAAAAATGAGGTCAACAGTTGGTAGTAATGAGAAGGTGCAATGGTATTGGCCACAGAGTCCGTTATGAGTAATTGAGAGAGTGTCACTTGATCACAAAGTCCGTAGTGGAAGGCTATAATGATAGTTGTTAGCCATGTAGACAGTACCAAAAAACTACAATTGTAACTAGTCACATTGACTGTAGTTAAGTGACACACCTGTTGGTGGCTGTAACCATTCTCTCGAGTTTATTATTTTACGTCTGAGACAATATTTGTCAATTTACTATAGATTGAAAACATCAGGAGTTTGGAGAAAGTCGTTGTAATCTGAATATAACAATCATAAGCAGTTTTTCGGGTGTTATTGTCGGGTCTTCAACACAATGTTATTCGTTACACCATATACAAGATACTTCATTACACTATATTTGAGATACTTTGTTACCCTATATTTGAGATACTTCATTGCACTGTACTCAGTGATACATCATTACACCACAAAGTGCACCGATGAAGGCTAACAGGAGGCATTTGGCGGTAGTCGATGTTGATTCGGGGTGGTTCGTGGTAGCCAGCGGTAGTCAACTACTGCCGACTGGTGATGGTGATAGGAAGTTACAAGGGCTGGAAATTATCGTCGATTCTTTAATCCAAGATAACATTAGGAATTTGACTCCTCCCCTGAAGTAAATAAGTGGGATCTATTTATAACCTTTGGTGAAGGGGCATTTGTTCATTCAACAAATAACGCCCATAATCACTTGATCTGACGACCCGTATTGATCCCTCTTGATTATAGGAGGGTATTTTATTATTTTAGGGTCTTAATGAGTCAAAATTAAGCAAGCTTAAGCTCATTAGATTCCTCTCGTTGATACGTTAGACTTGAATATAGATATGTCAAATTTAAAGTTGATTAATATGAACATTTTTGGACTCACATTGAACCAATTTTGATGTCATCCAGTTTGTATTTCGAAACAGTCAATTTAATCATAAAATTACTAAAATAAGAGCTCTAGATGATCATTAATTTGAATCGAAACATATTTTATTAAACATATTATCTCGAGATTCTTGTTAAAAGATAAAAATTTACTGATGATGCATCATCGCCTATCTTAAAATAAATCTAATAATTTAAAAATAAATCATACTTATCTCAAAATAAAATCTAGTAATTTTAAAAATTATCCCGACCAATCAAAATTTCCTGATACAGAATTCTCTCGGAACGAATTAATCCATTCCTCTTCACCAACCATGCATGACTAATTCTACAATTATAATCTGCGGCAATCGAACTCATCAAAGCTCAGGAAAAAAAAAACATTATTCAAGCATTGATTAAACAGTACCTGGCAACAAGCAGGACATAGTCACATTGCATGATCAACAAGAAGCCTCTCATCCAAAGCAATTCAAATAACATACAATGCACTATCAAATGCTCTCAATTAAATTAACGAACGTCAGATAAATCTCCAAGTCAATAATCCCAAACATTCTCTCTTTAATAAACCATTTGCACATAAACCACTCAAGAACAGCACAACTCTACCACAGAAAGGAAAAAAGAAACATTCTCAGCCATAAGCAGCACTGAAATAGCTCTCATGCACATTGCTGTTAAGAATCTGCAAAACTCTTCCATTTGACACACCCACACATCTAGGCGTCTTGTACTGGCTCATTGCTGCCCCAAGTGTGAGATAATGATCGATAACCTTATGAAACGTTCCTCGTTTAAGCACCCTGAGCTCAAGCGGACCGATTGATCGAACCTTCCTTGAACTAACATAACCTGCATCCACAAAGGCAAGGTCTAAACATTCAGAGCAGCTATTCAAAACTTCCTCTTTCGCATCGCCGTTTAGCTCCATAAAGATAACATAATGGCCGGGATCGCTCGACATGTCGACATGGCTGGTGTAGTCCAGGACCTCGAGCTTTTCGGCTGCCAAGAGCTTCTCAGCTTCCTCGACAGAGAGCTGCAGGTCTCTCTCCGTGTTCTTGTCGATGTTGATGGTTAAGATCAGACTCTTTCGTCGAATGAACTGGAGTTTTGGGGTTGAGTTATGAAACCCTGCTACCCTTACCACGTCACCTAGCCTGTAACGATATAAACCTGAGACGAGCAAACATTTCACTGAGATGAGAAACGGTGTCATTTTCAAGGGAACCATTTCAATGCAACACCATAGTTCTTAATGAAGACTTACTTCAACTATATGGGTACAACTGAAATATAAGAAAAAAATCTGAATTTTAAGAAAAAATCTTTTCATATTGTTCATATAGCAATTGGCTGAAAACAAAATGAAGAATTCTAAGACTTCAGGTTTGAGCGAGACCTTGTCTTTTAACATCATCAGCTATACCCAACTATATGAGTCAGCTTTATATATGATCATGAGCTGCAGTACATGATTAACCTTTATTAGCTGTTAAACTTACAATTTTTTTAATCAATTTTTAATGATATTACAATTAGCCATGATTTTTCTACCAAATCATTAATGTTAATTTTATAAACTAATCTAATTAAGAGCCTTCAACCTTTAGAAGTTTATAGTCTATTACCGCTTCAAATCTATTACAGCTACAAGTCAAACATCATATACAAGTCATACAACTCGTTTTCATCTTCTAGAATATAATATATAGTAGATATAATATTTCAAAATACAGTATACAATGAATTTTCAAGTTTTGACCAACAAGAAATAGCCAAAAAATTACCGGTCACCAACCCATAGATCATCATCCTTATAGACTAGTGGATAACACAAAAAAACAATGAATCGTTTTAGTCCAGCGGTTTAGAAACCATTCGCTAAGACAACAAAATCCTTATTACTTAGCATTCACATTCTCTCAATTAAAAATCGTCTGAAAAAAGAATTACTGGTTGTTATATTTTACTACATTATTTTCTCAAAATTATCAAAAATCCTAAAGACTTTGGAGCAGAAGTATTTTACAATAGGGTAACCCGAATACATGGCTCGAAGGCGACCCACTAAATAAAATTTATCTATTAAGGATGAAATTTCAAGCAAGATCAAGTCCATGAAAAAGTTGTTGATCCTATTAATGTAATTAGCTAAGTAACAAGTTGAATAATATAGTATTACCATAGTTATGGTCATATATTTCTTTTATTATTTTATTTTTAGTTTGAATTCAAAGGAAATGCTTTGGCCAGATAAAGTCTTCAGACTGATAAGATGGGGACAGGTAGAATTCAGTGCATCACATCCATATATAATCATTTAATCAGCCAACCTAAAGTTAAAAATGCGCATAGCTCATCAAAAGCCTAACAACTCTACTCCAAATTTATAAGTTGACTTTGGCTAATTATATATAAAATACTTCGAATTAGTTGAGCTTTTAGTCATTTCTTATGAAAAATAAAACTGCTTTTAGACGTTCAAAATTCAACAGGAGAAACGCTTAGGCTGAATTTTTAATTTAAATGCTGTCAAAAATTTTATTTTGGGATGATTAAATTTCAAGTTTGCTAATATGAGATCTACTAAATCCAGGTTTAGTAAATTAAAATTGAAGAAAAAAGGGACTATAAAAATTCTCTTTATTGCACTTTAAACTTTCTTCGAATTGAACGGCCCCCCTACCCCTTCTCATGCCAAGCATACTAAAAGTTGTTCAAAAGTAGATTCTTGATTGGGAATCAATTAAAAAAAAAAACTGATTTCTTGCAAATAAATAAATAAAAAGTACCAGAAACGTAGTGAAATTAACATTATACCTGCAAAAGTAGTGATGATTATTTCATATTCTTCCCCAACCTTAACTTCTGTAAGACCAATTGGCCCTTGTTCACTTCGCTTAGTTAAAGAATCGCAGCTCTCCTCCTCCTCCAACTGACCTTCCTCCCTGAGAGGAATAAATTCGAAATACCCTATATTAGGAAGAACAGTAAATGATGCCGATTCAGGTGGCAATTCTGGATCAATATTTGCACCAATCCACCCTTCAGAAGACCCATAATCAGCACTCATTAAGGGAAGATTCCCTGCATAATGCCTTAATTTACTCAAGTATGGCTCCATAGATCCTGTCATTATTCCATAAACATACTTAGCATTTGGCCAAAGCGCCGGTATCACACCGTACCAGCTACTTAATCCAACACACTTTTGGTACACAGTATCAGCCAGCTCTGGATTCGGACGAAGAAGGCTCGAAACAGCAGCGCGAATTGTCGGAATTGTAATCCTGCTTGAGAGAACTCCTTCTCTGATATCAATACATAGTTCTTCCCAAACGTTCTCAAAGGTTCGAAATGCATGAACAATGCTATGGGCAAATGTAGAGAACACAAGCTGGACTTGTTCAGAAAATATCAGACCACAGAGAAGATGGCAGTACAATGATTGGTGAAAGTCCGGGCTAAATATAACTTCATCAGGACTGCAACACTGAGAACTGATATCCATCATCGTTCTCTTAAATTGTGCGCTTCGGTATACATTTGTTGTAGCAGTGGTAGCTGTAAGACCACCCTTTGTTTTGAGCTGCTTGCTGCTGTAAATGAATTGAAGAGCCTTTCCATTCCTCAAGGGATATGCTCTACAAAACACATATAATTGAAGCACAGAGAAAAATTAGCTTGAAAAGCAAGTCAAGTCCACGTTTTTAAAATTTGTGTTCAAGTATCAAATATTTAATTTTGAAGTCAGAGGGATGTAACAGTGGGACTGAAATTGCTGTGTGCTATACCATAGTGTGCCACAAAAAGAAATAAAGATTGAAGAGATGAAAAAGCAGACCTATTCCTAAAAGCAAAAGAAGTCTTGAATATTTGCATTGTGGACTGCACCAATTCATCGTTGAAAGGTACAAACTTCGGCTTCCCCTGTGTTGTACCAGAGCTGAAGAAAGGGGGCATAAAAGTCCAAACTTAGAAAATAACATAAAAAAGGGAAGCATCACAATAATAAAATCTAAAAGAGCAAGAATGGAATCCGAAACCTCAATGAAATGGATGTTATCGGTTTCCCTGTCAGTATCGGACTAGCATCTCCATCTGCAATTCTCTGAATGTAACTCTCCAGTTCTTTGTGAGTCGCTAAAGGAACGCAGGATTTGAAGCTATGTGGATCAGTTCTTCCTCGAAGCCCCAAATTATGCAAGTACTCTGCATCCCCGTTGTCTTGTAGAATCCTACTTAAGGTCTCACTCTGAACTCTCTCAGCATTCTTTGTCAATTCCTCAAACTCCGCTATCACCTGATCGGCGCTGAATCCCTTCACTTTCTCCAACATCTTTGCAGTTCAGTCGAAAGAATATCTCTACTGCGACAAAGCACTGCCTTCTTCAAATCTGCTGCAACATCATGCAGATTAAGTCATGAAGCCAGATAAAGATAAAACAAAAAAAAATGATATTTTGAACAGGTTGAAGAGTGCAAAATAAGAAAGGTAAACGGTGAAACCGATTGAAAATTTCCAATAAGAAATTTAAAAACAAAGAGCCATAGAACAGAACTAAAAATCTACGGCCGCAAAGAATCATAGAATACGCTGGAGGATGACAAAGGTGTATTTCTGGGGAGCAAAACCGTTGCTTTAACCGAAGTTAGCCAATCCTTACCAATAGCTCTTCTTTGCAAGATCCGCAGAAGAAAACACGAAAAGAAAACGAATAAACTTGAAAATCAAACCAAATCCAGAGCAGGAATATTAGAAAAGAACAAAGAAATAGAGAAATATACAGTGAATAATGAACAAAGAACTTAACTAAGAAGCGAAGTTGGAAGGAAAGAAAATTCTACCTTCATCAGATCTCTGGGAGCTTGGCTTTGACGAGTTTGACTAATTCATAGTTTATCAAGTAGCATCCTTCACTACCCTGCTCGGCTATTAAATAGTATTTAAACTAGGAAGACGTCACGTGAGCGGGGGAGATTATCGAAAGAAAGTTTGCTTAGAGGGGAATTAGTTGAATAAAATGGCATTCCATAGCCCAGAAAACTATGGGCTAATGGCTGGCCGAAAACGAAGAAAAATTACATAATTATTGTCTTATCGTTGCACGAGAATTCAACACACACTCAAATAAGAGTAAAATAATCAGTGATGACACCATAGTTTTTTACATGAAAAATCATTAAAAGTAAAAAATCACCGGATCTGGTCTAATTATAAAACTTCACTGTAAATTAATGATTACAGAGGTCCCTTGTCCCCCAAACGTGAAAGGGTTACTAGATTTTCAGATTACAACGTCGTCTAACGATGTCCGGTCAGCTGTGGTCGACGGTGGTCGACGACAGTCGATGATGGTCGACGGAGGTAAGCGGTGATCGACGGTAGTCGACGGAGGCCGACGAAGGTCGACGGAGGTCGGCGGTTGTCACTAACTGTTGGCGGTGGTCGACGACTATCGACGATGACATATATGATGTTGGACTTGAGCTCATTCTCAATTTCTCATATTCTCTCTCAAGCTTCTCCCCTCATTTGAGGGGTGGGGCTCTATTTATAGTGTTTTAGGTATAATTAATGCAGAAATATGAACCATTTTGATCGGACAGTCTATAGATATTCCCTCGATTGGATGGTGTTTGATGGACATTTGAGTGTTTAACAATGTCAGAATTGAGCAATGTTGGCCTCGTTGAATTCGTCATGTCGAGACGCTCGATTCAATTATGAACTCGCTGAATTCGACGTTTGTTTAATCTTTCAAATGTGCCCAAAAATTTTTCGAGAATGATTTAATCACTTGATCTGAGTTTGATTTGACTCGAATTGAACTAACTTTGATATCATTAGGTTGTCTCATCGAGTCAGTTAGTTTGATTATAAGTTTGCTGAAATCAGAGCTTTGGATGACTTTTAATTTAAGTTTGAATGTTTTTTGCTCAAAAAGTTACTTTGAGATTCGTGTCATGTCTTGAAATTCATGATAAATAATCAAAATTTATTGATGGCGTATCACATCAGAAAATTTTAATACATGTTTTAAGGAAAGTTTTTGCCCCACTAAGTCTCAATTGACCCTTAATATATATATGTAATATATGTTAAATTAATGAAAAATAATATAATAGTTAAAAATTTTGCCACAAAAATTTAAACATTATTTAAATAAAAATGAAGGATAAATATTTACATTTTTCAAAAGAGTAAATGTTTCTAAAATTAATCAATTAATTTTATCTTAATATTTATTTTAATTCTATAATAATGCCATAATGTTGATGAGACATGTAAGCAAAAATTGAAATTTATGAGTTGAGTATATAAACAGATAAGCATCGAGTGGAATGCATATAAATCTTCCTAGATAATAAGAAGTAAAAAAGTTTTCAATAAGCCTGTATACTATTTTTATTACACTGTCTTTAAATCAATTATTAAATAATATAACTAATTTGTTAAGACAGATACACATAAATATTAGATAAGCTTAATTAATTTTTATTATGATTGTACTTAATAGCTTAATTTTATTTATATTAAGGTAATAATTGATTAATGAAATTAAGGGTGTGTATCATAAAATTCCCTCATCTTAAAATAAGTATTATGATATATTTTTGTTCTTAAATAAAACTAAGTTGATAATATTTTTTTCAGCAGAGAAGGGAAGATAATTTAAAATTGAAGCAATTTGATTTAACAAAATCTATATTATTAATATTAATTCAGATGCTAAACACGAAATTATATGGATGCAGCCAAAAGGGAACCAACTGGTCTTGAGACAATGGCAAGTGGCTTGGTAAATTTGGGAAAATTTTCCTTAGCATTGTTTTTAATATTACCATTATTGATGTTAGTATTTGACTTGTGAGTTTTAATATTTCTATTTTCTAAATTTTTTTAATTATTTTTAAAAATAACTATAAATTTGATAGGAAATTGGTCAATTTTAATTTTAGGGAAGGCCCTGAACTTGGAAGAATTAGAAAATCTTCCCAAGGGTGAGGGAACAATCTCTTAAATTTTTTTTTTTTGTTTTTTGAGTTTATATTTAATTTTTAATAATTAAAAAACTCTATGGAGTGTTTAACTAGTATTTAACTAGTTAAAATTAAATATAATTAATTATTTTCCCCTCTGTTCATTGAGCTCGGAGATATTTTTAATTTTTTTTATGATTTTTCTATACCAAGTTATGAATTTCTAAAATTCTTAGGTTTTTTTGGATTTATTGAAATAGGAAATTAGTATTTTCTTACTTATCCAAGTGGCGGCCACGTCAACCTTGTCCCGGTCAAAACTCCACGAGGCTCCTCCTGATTCACGATGCTTGTCATGCGGGCATTAAGGTGGCCCGCAGTCCGCTCCCCTCATTCTACAAGGTTTAATGGTTTGACCCGATTGCTGTCGTCCATTTCTAATGCACAGAAACAAACGAAATTCGTTCATGGTCTCCACAGAACAATGAATTGAACTATCTGTGATCAAGCCCTAATATCGTGCTCAATTCTCAACCAAATTACTCCTGGTTTTTTTCTAGAGCTTCATCTTTACTAGACGAACATACTTATACGGTTTAATGAGCATGATGTGTTCTTTTCTTTCACAAAAAAACAAACCCAAGACAAATTTTAGATATTGTGATCCATACATTGTCCCAAGAGGTGTGGGCTTAAATGGGATTAACAGAGAGCTTTGCCTTGATGTTACGAACCTCCTCCTTACTTCAATTTGAACAGAAATTGGCTCTAACTACAAGCTAGATCAAATGTGGCTCGGTTTAGTGTTGGGATGGGTTAGAGAGCTCAGGAAGCCTTAAATTTGATTGAGGAAGAGTCGTAGAGGTCCTAGGAAGCTTTTTGAAGGTTTAATTTTAAGTTTTGAAAGAGTTCATGTTGAGGCAGAAAATTGTTATTGTTTAGGATTGAGAAATTAGGGTTTTCTAATGATATTGGTGGCATGAGGAGATGAGGAATCAAATGCCTAAATTAAGGGGAACAATTTTGTTGTTGGGAGCAAGAGGATTTGGGGGCTTTCTAGGAAGTTCAGTCTATACCTAGAGCTCTTAGATTTGTTTCTTAAGTAGCCATGGATGGCATTGAGGAAGCTTTGGAGTGATTGGAGAAGGCTGGGTGGCTCCTCAGAACTTCGCAGAGGAATCTCAATGAGATTATAATCTATGGTGGGTTCATCATGGTGATGTGCATGGTGCAGAAGAAGACTTGCGGAAGGCTTTGAGCTAATTGACATCTTTTTAGATGGATAATACAGGGCATAGATGAGCTGGCTCGACTCACTAGAGATTGGTCCAAGGGGACTTAATCTAAGTGACATGTATAGTGACATGTGTTGCTCTCATCATGAGTCATGATGGATTAGGCCAAGTCACCAATCAAAGGTTTGAAAATTCTGGTTTAGCTTGATGGTCATCCTCATGTCATGCTAGGTAAGTTTTGCATCATGGGTGACCCATTAAGGATGAACCATGGGCCATGGGTTTGGGTTTCATCCTAGCCTAAACCCTAATGAAATTTTTAAAGGTCCTTTTAATTAATAGAATTATGGAGGTTGACCTCATGGTGGTTGAGTCCACCACATCGTATGTTGTCATGGCCATGTGGGTGAAGTTCAAGTATATAAGAATGTGTCCAATTGGTAAAATTTGACTAAATTTGGGTTATACCTAATTAGTTTTGACAATCCCAAGGTGCCATCAAAATTTTGGTTCAAAAGGGAACATTAGGGTTTGGGGTGATTTTTAGGTTTTGGTAGGGTTATGGAGGCCTTTGGTGAGGCTAGGGATTAATTTAGGTAGACCCCTTCTCCCAAGGTGGATTTGGTGGCCATGGTGGTTTGTAGGGTCCATAAACAAGTTCCTACGGATTTGGGTTGATTTGGGTGACATGGGGCATATTTAGTCCCTGGTGGTCACTTTGGGTTCATCTAAGGCATGTCTAGCCCCTGGTGGTTAATTTGTGCTCTCTTAAAGCATGTATAGCCCCTGGTGGTCAATTTGGGTTCACCTAAGGCATGTATAGCCCTTGGTGGTCAATTTGGGTTCACTTAAGGCATGTTTAGCCCATGGTGGTCAAAAACCTAAACCTAATCAACCAAAAATTGGTGGCTTAGGTAGCACTTGTGAGGCTTAAGAAAACACAACCTCAGTTTAGGGTCATGTGCAAGTAGGTGGGATGAATCCTTACAAAAATGAGATCAAGAAGCACATATTATGGTAGTTCCAAATGGTGATGATGATTTTCAGGTGTTTACTGATGCTTCTTTGAGAGGATTGGGTTGTGTATTGTAGCTGAATGGGAGAGTTCTTGCTTATGCATTGAGACAGTTGAAGGCGCGTGAGAAAAATTATCCTGCTCATGATTTGAATATAGTAACCATTGTATTTTCATTGAAAATCTATAGAAATTAATTATATGGAGTGAGATGTGAGATTTATATAGATCATCAACGCTTGAAGTACATTCTCACTCATAAGGAGTTGAACTTGAGATAGAGGAGGTGGTTGGAACTGATTAAAGATTATGATCTCAATATTATATATCAACCTGGTAAGACAAATGTGGTAGCTGATGCTTTGAGTAGAAAATCTATTGGTGTGTCGCTTGTTTGATTACATTTGATGATAGTCTAAATCAAGAGATGGAAAGGTTGGAGTTGGAATTTATTTAGTCTGGTGATGTGGATGCAGTATTTTCATAGATGATTATTCAAGTTTCTTTGAATGAGAGGATTAAGGAGGCTCAGAGGCAATATGATGAGAATACTAGATTAGTT